ATTAAATATCAATAAAAAAATAAAAAAGAAAAATATGGAATAATTATATTTTTATTAAAAAAAATTTAAAAAAATACAAAAATTCTGAATTTTATAATTATTATAATTGTTTTTTTTTCATAGCTAGGGGAAATTGCAACTTTTTTATAATATTTTGGTTAATTTTAGAATACTTTTAATCTAATTATTTATATGTAATTTATCTATTTACACAAAAGAATTGGCTAGAAAATTATTTGCTATACTTAGGATAATTATTAAAAAAAATTCTTATTCATAAGATAAAAAGTGAAATTATTTAAAATATTATTAATATAATCACTTTTGAGGTCTTAATAAAAGTTGTTCTTTTAATTTTTTTATAAATAATTACTTAGAATCTCAAAAAAGCTTGAAACCGAGTTTTTGAACTATAGCATTCTGAATTTACTGTACCATTTAAAACTATATAAATGTTTTAAAAATATTATATTGAAAATATAACTAAAAATAATAAATATTAATAAATATTAATAATATAAAATAGTATTTATCTAAAGTTAATAAAATTTTCAAAAATTTTAATTAACAGTATATATAATTTGAATTAATATTGTTTATATTAGTTTATTAATTTTTAATACTATTAATATAAAATTAATTTTATTATTTCTCTTAAATAGTTAAAAAATTTTTAAAGTATTTTTTTATTATTTCTTATTTTTATAGTATAGTTTGATAAGCACAAGTAGAAAATATTCAATATAACATATAAAAGATTACTTAAAAAATATTTTATATTAACTAAATTGATTTTGGTATTATTTGCAAAAAACTTGTTTTGATAAAGTTGAAAATAATATTGTTAACAAAAGTTAATTTTTTTGAAATATTAAAAAAAAAAAAAAAATAAAGAAGTTATTAGTTAATTAAAAAATGTTTTTATTATATTGTGGTATAATAGACAATTTATTAATTATATTGCTTAGATAATGTTTGATTGGATTGTTAGAATTAGATAAGATTTATAAAAATAATATTGAGATACTTGTGAAGAATATTATATAAAAAAAGTTTTCAATAAATAATTATTATATTTGAACAAATTACTATTTGAGTTAATAAAATAATGTTTTTCTTTGAAATTAGTTCTTTTATATGTTATAATATTTTTTTTATATTTTAATAATATAGATAAAGTTATATAAATATCAAAATAATAATTTGGGATTGAATATTAAATTATAAGATTCAAGTGAATTATTTGGATTGTTAAAATTCTTAAACCAGTTAAATTTAGACTTATTGAAATTCAATTTTTAAATTATATATTTTTTTAATATTATAAATATAAAAATTATATATTTTTAAAAATATTTAAAATTTTTTTATCTTAAGTTACTTATAATAAAATTTAGTTTTATATATTTTTTATTAAGTACTTAAAAAAAAATAATTTAATTTAATTTTTGTAAAATGTTTTAAATTAATTAAAATATTTTTAAAATTTATATATATATTATAAAAGTTTAAATATATTATAACAGTTTAAATAATAAGTTGTATTTAATCAAAAAAAAAATCACAAAAAGATACAAGTCTAAAAGAGACAATTATTTTATTAACTCAAAGATAAAATACAATATGAGTTATTATAAAGATAAAAAATTCCTTCTTAAATAATTATTTTCTATTATATAAATAATTTATAAAAATATATAAATAGAAATATATAAGTTCTTATTGGTTTTTTTGGATAGTCTTATATAACATAAAAAAAAATAATAATATAATAAATATTATATGTATTTAATAATAATAATAATGTACTGTTTTTCAAATAAATATAAATGTAATAGAAATAAGAATTTTAACAATTTTCTTTGATTCTATATTTGATTCTCAAGTTTATATTAAATTTAATAGGTGGGGTATATCTCACCATCATTTTTAATAGTGTTTTAAACCTCATGTAATTTCCTGTGATGCTGTCTGATTTCAATTTTTGAAACCATAAATAAACATAATAATTAATAATATATCAAAAGATTTTAAAGTATTTCACAAAGTTTCAGATATTTTTAGTTATATAAAATATGGTGCAATAAATATAAAAAAATTATTATACATATATAGTATTTACTTTGGAAATTTTTGAATTATTTTAATATAAAAAATTTTGTTTAAAAATATATTTTAAATATAAATATAAATATTTTCAGAATTTTTGAAATATTTTAAAACTTTTTTATCTTAAGTAACTTATAGTGAAATTTGATTTTACATATTTTTTATTAAGTACTTAAAAAGAATAACTCAATTTAATTTTTTGTAAAAGTTTTTTAAACTCATCAAAATATTTTTATTTCAAAATATTTCTTTAAAAATTTTCGAAATTTTTTTTTAAAAACAAAGATCATCAAAATTTTTTTTTCAAAAAAATTTTTTAACATGGTTTTAAACCTTTTTTTATTATTTAAAGTTAAGTATTCTATATGTTAAATAAATTATTAGCTTATATTTTTTTAATTATTGTATATAAAAAATATTAGATAACTATTTATTATTAAAAAATTAAATTCAAGTTTTAACAATGTTTTTAAATTTGTTATTCAAGATATTTGTTTATAAATAAATAAAAAATTTTAATTTCTTTAATAGCAAGAATTATATCTTTAAAAAAAATACAATATGATACTGTTAATTTATAAAAAAGATATTAAAAAAATCTTTTTTCTTTTTTATTGAAAATGAAAAACTTTTTTAAAAACAAAAATAGAAAATAATTTTTTTATCAGATATCTTGAAATCTTTAAAATATATTTAATACAACTGATAAACAACCAATGAAATAAAAAAAAAAGTATACAAGCTAAAGTAAATTTTATTTACAAAAATCACTTACTTTTTGATAACAGGTAATAATAAATGAATTTATTACGATAATTATAGTTTTTTAAATTTAAATAAAACTTTGCTTTTTATTATTATTAAAGCTTTTATTATTGATGTACTATCAAAAATTTTAGCACAATCTTTTGCTACTTAAAATTTAAATTTGAACGAATCATAAATGCTAAAAAATAATATTTAGAAATCATTGATAACATATTAGATTTGATGAGTTGATATTGTTAAATAAAGTTTTAAACCACAGTATTTATTTAAATGTAGGCAACCGTGTGAGACCTGCAAGCTAACGATAAGCATTTTTTCTGCAGGTAGGATAATATCAGAATGTTGTCAAGAGAAGGAATTGATCTTGCCCTCGAGTTTAAAAATGTCCAGCAATCTAAATTTGTTGACATCAGGATATTTAAGGGCTTCTTTTTTTTTTTTTGGAATTTATGTATGAGAATTTCAATGATAACATAGTACAATAAAGACCATTAAAATTCACTAGAATTTATTTGGATAAATTAGAGAGAAAGCGCATCTGAATACGGCAATGAGTTTATATCACCAACTGCAATCGCTGTGGGTTTGCACTGGAGAACTTTTATGGCAGCCTAATTGTAATGTTAATATGGGCTTTAGGCAATGCGCGAGGTTTGATTACGAACGAATGAAGAAATGAGATGAAATTTTACTAACATTTTTTACGTCCTCGATTTTGACACGATCAAATTGAGCTACAGCCTCGGCAGGAGAGATAACTTTACCTGTTAATAAAACCTGTTGATTTGGAGACATGATTTAATTATGATCGTAGACGCAGGAGATAATATGATTTAGATTTTAACGATCACACGGTGATTACCTGACTACCAAAGATTTCGGTTTTCGATGAACGTGTCTCATACGAAGCGGCGACGTTATTCCTGGCTTTGGCTAAAGCTTGTTCAAATTTCTCTTTGGGTACACCTGCAGAGGCATGCTTCAACTCTTCTACGGCCGCTCGTAAAACTTGATATACGGATGTGGCTATTCCTGAAACGTATACGCCAAAAAGACCGGCATCTGAATAGCCCACATTGAAGGCGGTACCCTGTGTGCCTTCAAATTTATTCACGACTTGAGCTAAAGCGTTTACACCTTCACCCCATTTTGTATGCTTCTCGCCATCTATGAGCGAACGTAAAACCTGAAGTGTTGCATAATCGAGCGTACCCGCGGGCGCACCAGCAAAAGCTAGAACATAATGGCTAATTCCATCTGCAGCAATTCTTGCTTCCCCACCATAATATTTAGAAGCTATTGGGGTGGGAGGAACAGAATGATCGATATTTTGGAATAGTTTATCAGTCGTATTTAATAGTTCTTGGTGATCTACGGACGTGCCCACGATCGTAATGTTTGGTGCGGTGTAAACTCTGCTTGCAAATTCGCTGACGTCTTGACTACTTTTGACTTTTGTGGAATCATTTGCAAACAGTGAGTTGCCAAGCCCATGACGAAATGCAACCGAATGAGCAGTATCTAATGCAACTACATCAGGGAAAACCTTCATGGCATTTCTTTCAAATAGAACTTTCTTTTTTACATCAGAGAATTCGTGTTGATGGTAGCTGGTTTTGAAAATGATGTCGGACAAAAGTTCCATAAAATATGGACTGCATAAATCGGAAGTTTAATGACGAACCGGTCAGAATTTTTCAATCATCAACGGATCACTCACACAGAAAATCACATACAGATCTTCACGCAGAAACTCAGCTGAGATGATTAGGGATTCCCGGGTCAAATTTGCGGACAAGACACCGCCAAGCAGTTCCGCCTCACGTGTGGTGCGAAATGCGGTTCGTGCAGAAGTGTTCTGTGTGCGTCAATCAATAGATTGAATCAATAGGTTGCACCGACGAAAATTGCATTACCAGGTTCGATGGACGAAAAGATGACATCACCTCCCTACCTTAAAGGCAAAATTCTTTAGAAAGTGGGCCGCTCCGGCACTATCGGTCGTCTCCGCCCGGGGACCAGCCTTAACCACAAGGGCGACAGAAGAAGCAGGGGTATTATCTTTTATTGATTTTACAAGATTCAAAATTTGAACGTCAAACGACTAAAATTTTCTACTACTGAACCTCTCTCAATTTGGTCGAAAAGGAATAAAGTGTTCACCTTCAACCGAAATAACTGCAACTCCTGTTTTAGACTTTGTGACCACTACAGGCGAGGCAGCGACATTGGCATATTTACGGCTCAATATACCACCGAGTTTGCTCGACAGACGGTGTGCGCGAAGCATAATTGTAGTTTGGCGACAAAAAAATGTTTGAATTTTTTTCTGATGATCAAAATGCCAAGCCACGTGTTACACTTAATTGATTGGCCATCGCATCGATAACAGGTTTTATTTATCTTTCATCTAATGTCGTCTATTCCCTTTTACATATCGAATTCTTTACTTTTTACAAAAACCGGTATTCTCAAGGAATCGAACAATTTAGTCGTGTCAAATATCCTCAAGAATCCTTTCAAATTCATTGGTCTCAACAAATTACCCAAGCGCAATATAGGAATGGCGTGGCGTTGCTCAGCCGATAGTAATGATGGCTTGGTGGATAATTTGAAGAATAATAAAATCATATGTTCCGAGAGAGTTGAGAAGGCCATGAAGTCGGTGGATCGAAAAAAATACGTTAGCCACAGCCCATATATGGATTCGCCTCAACAGATAGGTTACGGCGCAACGATCTCAGCACCTCATATGCATGCTATCGCTTTAGAAAACATGGAATCATTCCTGAGACCCGGCGCAAAGAGCTTGGACGTCGGATCTGGATCTGGTTACTTGACAGTTTGCATGGCGGAAATGGTTGGATCCGAGGGAAAAGTTATTGGCATAGAGCACATCCCTCAACTGGTGGACATGGCTAAATCGAACGTTCAGAAAGATCGACCGGAATTTTTAGAATCCAATCGGATAGAGTTTCTAGTTGGTGACGGCAGGAATGGATACCCGGAAGAAGCACCCTACGACTGCATTCACGTCGGTGCCGCCGCCGAAACCACACCACAAGTTTTAATCGATCAACTCAAATCACCCGGACGATTATTCATTCCCGTGGGTAGCGGGAGCCAATACATTTACCAATTTGACAAGGATGTCAATGGGAATGTTACCAAAAAGTCATTAATGGGAGTGATGTATGTCCCACTCACCGATGCACATAAGCAGCTGGGGGGAGCACGAAGGTAAACAATCAACTATATCACGTGATGTGGTTTAGAGAATCGCCACGAAAAGTCCGAGTATGATTTTATAAAACTCAATCACCAAAAAAATAAGTGTGTAATATTCGAGATATAATAACGAACCCAGCATTTCTTTTGCTTTGATGTACAACTGTAAAAATTCTTTTAAAAAAAATAATGACAACCAGTAATAAAAACATAATGTACTATAAAAGTTATCATGGTTTATAATTACATCACACACGTACCGGACGTTGTAATTTCTCTCATATTATTGAATTAGTTTGATGGAAGAAGAGTTCAATATTGAATTTAAATTAGAACACAGAAGGTTCCAGAAATTGCATACACGTTGAGAAAAAAAACACATTTCATTCGTGGTCTCCACCAACTTCTGGAGAAATTACCGCGACAAATTTTTGATTTTTTGCCATTACCACCACCTTTTTCCTATCATTTTCTGCTAATTTTGCGGCTTTGAGGCGTTCTTCAAGCAAGGCCTTACGTTGTGTTTCGTCAAATGCAGGACAGGGTAGAAAAGGTGGTGCGGCCACCATGAACACGGCAAATAAAGCTACCGTTGAAAATAGAGTTAACGTAACCTTGGATTTCTGTGCGGCTGTTAGTCTTGAGGGTACTGGACGCATTTGTTGCACCGTTCTTTACTTTCAATTAGCTTATGGATGGGATTTGAACATGCCGTAGTCTGACTGTTAGCAGATAATTGGAAGAAATGCCAAAAAAGAATAATATCTATGATGTGTATGCGTTACATGCAATTTTTTTTTTTATATCGAGGTTAGCATTACCGATCACGTGGTTACATAACACGTAGAGACAGTACGTATGTCACGTACGTAGGGTTAATACGTAATTTTTTTTACTGCGTCATTCATCACTGTTATATATATAAGCACGCGATGAACTCCTCGTTTACTCAATTTGTGTGAAAATGTCTACCGACAAGAAGTTAAAATGGCTTCCTCTAGAATCGAACCCCGACGTTAGTATCTTTAATATTATTTCGAGTTTATTCATTCGCATAGCATTCAATTCAATCACCAAAAAATTTTTGTTCTCTATTCTCTAGGTTATGAATGAGGTAAATTGATTTTTTTTAAAAAAAATTTATTTGATTTTACATTGAAATCCGCGTACTCAATTGCAGAAACATCCTTTTTATTAGTATGTTCATAAATTAGGCATGCACAATACGTGGGCCTACACCGATATTTGGAGTAAGAGTTAATGATAAACTGGGTCATGTCGTAAACAATATGTGTCAGATCACGAATAATTTTTCACTTGGAAAAATTTAGGTCTAGAACCAGAAATTTTACAATTTGTGCCTCAGCCTGTCAAGGCAGTCATGATTTTATTTCCCATAACCGATTCTCACGAGAAACACAGCGAGGAAGAAGCAAAGCGCATCCAAGAAGTATCTCCTGATGTCGTGTTTTACAAACAAACCATTTCTAACGCATGCGGAACGATTGGACTGTTGCATTCTATAGCCAATAACGTCGACTCTATTCAAATTGGTGATTATCTTGTTTTATTATTCGTTGTATTGTTGACTCGATTCATCGTCTCAATATTCATATTCCAATTAGATGACGGACCGCTCAAACGGCTATTGGAGAAAACTAGGAATGGAACACCCTTAGAACGCGCCAAACTGCTCGAGGAAGACGAGGAGTTGGCAGAAGCACATAAGTCGTCTGCTCTGACGGGACAAACCAGAGTCAGTTGTGGATACTTTAAATAAAAATGTATCTATTTCATTATTATATCCACTAACTTTCCTAATTTTAATCTGTATAGCCTCCAACGGAATCGGATAAAGTTAACACACACTTTGTGTGCTTCATTCAGAAAGATGGAACACTTTATGAATTAGATGGCAGAAAATCTTCCCCTATCAATCATGGGCCGTGCACCGATTTGTTAATGGTATATGTTGTTTAATCCTCCCTGTCTCGGTCTTCTTGTTTGCACATCAAATGATAATCCTCTGATCGGCATTATTAATACAATAGGACTCTTCTAAAATCATCAAACAATTCATGGAACGTGACCCGGGAAGTCTTCAGTTTACCATGATCGCGCTTGCACCAAAACAAAACGACTAAATGTTATTTATTTTTCTCGACCGTGTAATGATCTGAAGTTAATCTGTGCTCATAGTTACTTGACTTTAATTTTTATTTTACATTCGAACAAAATTGTCTCCCGTTTTAGCTTCAAATAAAATATTCTGTCATTTAAAAACTTGGGAAAAAAAAAAATAACAAATAAATTGGCCAAAATATTTATTACAAATAGTATTTTATGAACCCGAAATCATAATAAATCCGCATTGGTCTAGTGGCTAGGATTTCGCGCTTTCACCGCGACGGCCGGGGTTCGATTCCCCGATGCGGAAATGATTAATTTTCTTTTTAATTTTTTTTATGCCAGGTCATGTGACTAAAAATATGCATTGCATAGAATTCAATGAACAATAACAATTTTCTTCAGGACCCACTCACACCGATTTAACATGTCGAACTTAAGTGAACCAATTTTATTCGAGACACCCGTTACTGCAATCGCAAAGCAAACGGCCGTCATTAACCTCTTCGGAGGTAGAGGCCCCATTTGCTTAAACTTTTCTTCAGCCACTCAAAATACCATGTTCGACCTTAAGCAGATGATTTTCTCTCGCTTATTCATTGATCCTGAGGATCAGGTTTATTATACTTCGTCTGGCAAACAACTAACCGAAGACGATCGAATATTTGAAAGTGAACATGCCGAGTTTACGACTCTAAATCTTAAACTTCGATTGTTTGGAGGAAAAGGTGGTTTCGGGTCGATGTTAAGGGCGCAAGGTGGAAAAATGGCTAGCCAAAAAACCACAAACTTCGAGGCCTGTAGAGATCTAAACGGTAGAAGATTGAGAACGGTGAACGAAGCCAAAAGACTGGCCGATCACCTTGAGCAAGAACCGGATAGAGAACGTGTGCGAAGGGAGAAGGTGCAGAAAAAGATTGAAGAAGGATTGGCCGAGCTCCCGACCAAGAGAATTCGATTTGACGATACCGAATACTTGAAGGCTAACGAGGAAATGAAGGAGAAAGTGAGCAGTGCAGTGTCTGAAGCAGTATCGAAAAAATCCATTGTCATCAATAATAACGGAGAGAGTAGTGGTTCACAGAATGTTCTATCATTATGGGACGCCGTTGTTTTATCTGAGGACGATTCAAGCTCAACAGATTCAGACGATGAGATCGTTGAGAAAGAGGACATTAAGGGAAAGGGGAAAGAAGATGAGACCAAGAAAAGAAAACGTAAGCAACGAGAATGATTGCTGTCAAAGAGATTCCTTGTGCATCATATCGATTCATATGAAAAGCAAGTTCGATGTCTTATTATGGAACATCTTTAAGAACGGCAAGATTGATTATTTAGTGCTCACTGATGTGAATTGTGAGAGCTTCGAATCTGTTCGTTTTTCATCCTAGTTTAACAGAACCTTGTCTTATACAAAAATTTTGATGCCAGCAATACTTTGTGAGGATCAGAAGTCAAGGATGAAATGAAAAATGACTCACGACCGCAATGAAAATAATGTAGTATAGTAATAATGCAAAAGAAAATTGAATGTTTTATGCTTGGCAAGTTATTCTCCAAACTATTGTGGTAAAATGGATTACTAGTAATTTTAATTATAATGATGATGAAGATAATAATAAATAAAAACTAAAATACATTAATAAAGTCATTATCATTCGTGCATATCTATGTAACCGGGCTATCCTGGGATACCAATATGGCAGTATTAATTGTGGCTATCAATTCTTTCAACTCATCCCAAAGGTCCAACAGGATACCTTGTCATTCATTGAGTCAGTGATCAAAGAATATGTCAATAAATCTTGTCTTGCACAAATACATTTGATAATAAGAACACAATCGTTCTCACCAGTATTTGCATTGGAATCGGCTACCAATGTAGTGATCAACGGTGCATGATTGAATTGCACGATTTGGTGAATTCCGTATAGGCTCACGACATAATTATTCTTCTTTAATCCTAGTTTGGATGCCTTTTAAAGGGAATGATGCGAAGGAACTTTGCGATAAACCGACTTTTGGTTTCGCAAAAAAAAAAGATATGAAGCTCACCTGATCGCTGACCACAGAAAACGTGGTCGATATTGCCGACTCGAGTACCCTGGGCGACACATCACTTGATACAGCTAATTGTAGAGGTATGGAGAAAGATTGGTAATCAAGATGTCACCGACGAAGAGAGAAAATACTAGATATTTACACTTTATCAGTATCACACCATCTCGATCTGTTATCGTGACTGCTTTCAAACCGTCTATTCTATTTTTGTTTAATTTAATTCATACGTTTATTTTTCTAAAAGAAAAGGTGTAATTTCAAAGAACATGATCAAAAGTTGAAGTGAAACCTCAAAAGTAACTTGTCGAAATATGCTTGTAGTTTCTGTGCGAGAGGTTAAGGTTACGTCAGAAAAGTCAAGAAATGAACGACGAGACGACCTTAGTCACATAAAAGTGCAATACCTCACCCATTCTTTGTTATGTTATGAAAGATGTCAACGAAATAGTACCAAACAATTGAACATTTTATAACAGATTTGGTTGGTGCAGTCTATAATGAGTTTACGTCACGTCTGATCCCAGATAACGATTATCAACATGTAACAGAAGAAGGCCCAATCGATTCGGTGCAACTTTCCTGCTTGTAATTAACTTAACGTACGTACGTATCGATCAACTTTCTTGAGAAAAAAAAGAAATGGCATTCCCAAGAAAAGTACGTATAACCGTCCCCTGTTCTTCATCTAACATAGGACCGGGTTTTGATGTACTCGGCGTGTCACTGTCCTTATATCTCACCGTTGAGCTTGACCTCCTCGAAAGGGAACCCGGTAAAGAATACTGCAATGAGGTAGTCTTGACATACTCGGGTGAAGGTGCCAACACCATACCTCTCGAAATCGAGAAAAACCTGATCACAAAAACAGCACTTTATGTTCTCTCTTGCAATAATATCAAAGGATTCCCTTCTCCGCTAAACATCCACGTTGATAATCCGATCCCATTGGGTCGCGGTTTGGGTTCTTCAGGAGCCGCGATTGTCGCCGGCGTTATGCTAGGTGACGTTGTCGGAAATTTGGGTTTGACCAAGGAACGTATGCTTGATTATTGTTTGATGATAGAACACCATCCTGATAACGTTACGGCTGCCCTGATGGGTGGATTCGTGGCCTCGTATCTGAGGGAATTAGGCGGTGATGAGGATGATGTCACGAACAATGCTTCAGTTCCTGTTGTACCGGAAGGAATAGGAAATTACATTAGATTAAGATGGGCCAAGGAAATTAAAGCTATAACCATTATCCCGCAATTTGAGGTATCCACCGAAAAAGCCAGGAGTGTGTTACCGATAAAATACGAAAAGCAAGATGTGGTAAAGTTTGGTTTCTTAAATCCCGGAATTCCCTGTGTTAAGCTTGCAGTTCATCATGATCATATTTTTTTACAAAAAATTTCAAGGTGTTTAATTTGCAACGCTTAGCGGTCCTGATCATGGCATTGTCATGTTCTCCGCCAAATGCGGATTTGATATATCAGGCGATGCAGGACAAAGTGCACCAGCCATATCGAACAAAATTGGTAAGGTCGAATCTCACGACCGACTGTCACTAGTTTTTACTTGTGCACCTATTAATTCATTTGGGTTAAATTAATCAGATTCCTGGTCTTTCTGAGGTTCTCGATAGCGTGAAACCTAACACGCACCCGGGACTTTTGGGAATATGCCTTAGTGGGGCAGGTCCCACAATCTTGGCCCTGGCGACAGACAACACCGACAACATCGCAGAGGCCATAAAAAAGGTGTTTGCCGAAAAAGGAATAGACTCTGTCATAAAGGTTCTGGAGGTGGTAGATGATGGGGCTCAAGTATTATAGTATATTAGTAATCTTTGCAGATTATTTTATTTAATTTAATTGATTTTGAGGTCGACGTTATGTAAAAATTAGAAGGTTGAAAACCGATAATTTATGTCATGATGATAGAAGTAATATTTGGGGGCTGTCACTGGACATGCTGTAAGTTATTTTTTTTTTTAATAAATATTACGACAATTAACGGACCGACAGAATTAATCTTTTGTTAATGAGAAACGTTGATCCCTACAGTCAGTATAATAATGATTAATCTATGTCTAAAGATTATTTTGTTAAGATTTATATAATTTGCATACAAAAAAATTTTTTGATGTGTTTTTGAATAGCCAATAAATCGGGTGCATTTTAATTAACTGGATTCAAATAATCATATCCTGATCTCAATTGTCATCTCATATGTAACCATTCTAAAAATATTATTGATATGATCACCTATTTAAATTAAAAGAAAAATTTTGTCTATCTAATAAATAGTAGGTAATGTGATTAGGAAAGGTTAAAGAAATATACAATAATTGTGGTTATAAAATTTTTTTTTAAAAAAATTTCATTCTATCAGTATTCCTTGATGGATAATGCAAAGAATGAGTGATAAAAAAAAACGTGTTTTTTTTTAACCATTTGGTTTTGAAAATGCCGCATTCTTTTATTAAATGTTTTTACTTGATAATTTAATTTTTAATCAACTGGATTCAGTAGATATTTTAATTTTTTAAAAAACAATAAGAGGAATTCGAATACAATCTTGAAGAATTGTTCCGCATCCTCTCGTTTTTTTACAAGACATACCAGAAGGTTCTTTCACAAATCGCTTCTGACCCCATAACCCGGGCCAGTTGGCTCGCCCGTTAATGTTGTGAGACCAGTTTTTGGTTCACAC